TGTGTAGTCTGGTCGATGTTTACCAACGTTTCAGAGATCATACTGCCTCCATCATCAGGGCGATGAGTATGAAGATTTCTGTCTTCTGGGTTGTTGCGCTGTGTAGTCTGGTCGATGTTTACCAACGTTTCAGAGGTCATACTGCCTCCGTCAACAGAGCGATGAATCTACCAGACTACACAGCGCAACAACCCAGAAGACGGAAGACTTCATTCTGAAAGAAATTAATTCATTATGTTTTTCTCAGTCACTTCAGTTAGCGTCTTAAAGTAGGCAACGGCCAAAGTAACCAACACCCCTTCCGATTTGTCCTCGATAGTCATCCTAACATAAGTTTTACAGAACTAGTAGTTGATACAGTATCGTGAAACAGCTAAGTAAACAAACATTTGTTTATTTCTCCGTCCTAAGCATAAACCAGTATCGAGTGTAGAACTTGTTTTTAAGGAACCTCCGCCGATATTCGTTAACCTTGAGAGGACATCAGTTCTTAACAAGGAAAATGCAGATAAGTAAACAAATGGAAGCTAATGTGTAAATAAATGCAATGTTTCCTTGTGCCGATTGGATAACAGTTATGTTTTCAATTTTGGCACGGATTTAGCATGCAACGTCTAATGAGGCCTATGAATATTTTTTACTAGTTACTCATACCACAATGGTAAAGAAATGACGTTATGCCCTGAAGAACGCTCTAACCGACCTTTTGACGTCAATTAATACGAGTCAGTTATTCCGGACGAAGTTTAGTGAAAGACTGTGTTTACAGGGGGAGAGTTAAGGGTTTCTACGGATAATTTTTTCTAATGGCGGTTTTAAATTTGAAAGTATCAAAGTCACTTCTGTACATCAGAGATTTGGTCCACGTACGTAAAAAGAAAAATTTGAAATAGCTGTCCTTCTCTTTATTTTTTTTATTTTTTAAGAAAAGGGTAAGACTGATAGCCTAGGTAGAAGGTTACTCTTGGGATATGTAGTATTTGAGTGATTGACGTTGTATATTTTTGGATACTTTTGTCTTCTTTACGTGAACTGCACCAAGAGAATCCATGTAGGCGAGGTTGTTTCCGAACACTTGTATCTCCCAAAACTAATTACTGCATTTCAGTACACTAAAAGTTAGGATATGGTTTTCACGGTGGTGAGTCTGGGTTGTAGCGCCGTGTGGTCTGGTAGACTACCCCGCACTGATGATGGAGGCAGCAACGACCTCTGAATTGTTGTTAAACTTCTACCAGGCTTCACAATAAAAGTTGTCAGGCAAGTTCAAGTTCGATTCGTATCGGTCGAATATATTCTATGAAACTGAGATGGATCTTATTGATTCAAAATGGCTCATCATATGAGAAGTTTGTACATACCAGTAGCATAAAATTTGTACCTCGTCAATATCTGCTACAGTTAGTTTAAAAATGTTTCGATGTGCTACGTTTTAACAAAATATAGGGAACTAAATTCATGATATGCTTGTCAATAAGTTTTCAACAATATTGTTAAGTGTTCAAACCCCAAGTGAGTTTTAACATTGTCTGCTGCTTATATAATAGCCAATGTCCGTCACCCTTGACTGTACGAGTGCGCCGTTCGTGCCACGCAAAAAAATCTGTCGGTGGGGACTGTGGTAGCAAAAATGCAAAGGAAGCTATGGTAGGGTTTGGTGGAGTCTGCGTTTGGCGGGAGTTTGGAGTCGAGCAGACATGAATCTGGCTTCAGTCGCCTTGAAAATATTTTCACATTTGATTTACTTTTAAGATGAACTCTATTAATGCGATTTGCAAAGATAACACTTCAATAAATGTTATTATTCTTCACTGGTGGGCTAATGTCATATGGTGTCCCGAGGCTCGTCATCATTTCGGTTTGTTGTGTTGGAGTCGGGACGCCATGCGTCAGGTTAAGTTTTTCTGGGTTAGTTGACATTGGTATAGGTTAGGTTTTATCAGGATAGGTTGGGTTACTCTGCTAAAGAGAAACGTTAATTGACCAGCTCGCGACGCTCGGCGGCCAGTTTCCTAATCGGTGGTATGTATAATCCCGTGGCCATTCGCATTTTCGGAATCTTGTGATGGGACACCCTGATGATGGGAGCAGCAAATTTGCTGAAACGTTGGTAAATTTCTATCAGACTGCACGTCACGCCGCTCCAACCCAGGAGATAGTTATTTTCTTACCCGCCACTGTGGTAACCAGCAGTCCAAACAACGATGTTTCTTCCGCCATCTATTGAATGAACAATCAACTACCTAAACATGCATCCTTTATGGAGCTGCCAACACTACAACGTCTTGTTTTATGTTTAATTTCTAACACAAGTTTTCAGTCCGTTTCAGTCATATGTTATGAAGCTCCGCGAAATGTTCATAATCACTGTATTAAATACAAATCAACTTAAACATTATCATTAAGGGAATGTTTTTATTTTACAAATTATCATCACCGTTCTTGGATATGCACCTACAGAAGATGTAAATTACTATTTTTATACATGTATTGGTATCATTGTATGGTTCCCATCATCCTGTACGCTTCATTCTTATATCCGTTCTGTTGTATTGGTGGTGTTTATGTGAATGAAGGTTTGTTATATTTTTGTGTATCTGAAACAAAACTGTAGTTTATTTATGAAGGTGTTAATTTATAAATGAAGTAATGAGTGTTTTATTACATTTTTATGTATTATATTTTATGTGTCTTATGCAATATGAAGGATGGTTGCAGATTCTGTCATGTGGATGTGATCGTACAATCGAAATTTGAGGTTAAAGCGATCTTATGTATTTTATAAAACGCATAGGACGTAGGTGGTAATACCGGTCCTCTTTATTTTTAATTCTGATTTTTTTTCAGAAGTGTGTTACATACAGTAAATCTGTTGCAATTTGTCATTGTGGTGGATGTGAGAAGGAATATCTGCAGTAAATATGTTTCAGGTTGGAAATCACCATAATGGCTGATGTTGAGAAGTCTACTAAACCGAAAGCAGAGAAAAAGCCTAAGGAGAAAAAAGAGAAAGCTCCCAAAGAGAAGCCAACAGAGCAACCTCCACTGAAGAAACGTCCAAAGAAACGTCATGGACGCTTGTACGCTAAAGCAGTATTTACCGGTTACAAAAGAGGCTTGAGAAACCAGCATGAAAACACAGCCTTACTGAAGGTAGAAGGTTGCATTAAGAAACATGACAGCTGGTTTTATGTTGGAAAGCGTTGCGTCTATGTATACAAGGTATGTGGCAGTAGTGATATATGTTCTGTCAAGAGATTTCTTGTTGATTCATGCCACTTAAAGAAGATGGAAACATTGTTTTGTATAGTTAGAAACTAACGTTGTGAAAGTAAGATAACTGATGTAATCATTCCAGTCGTCTTACTTTCTGCAGTCAATGATGATAACATGGTAGATGCAGATAGTTTTGGAGTGGGAACAACATTATATGCTCTTTATTTAGTATGGGATCCTGTGATGATGTATGGCAACATTTTAAAAAATATACAATTTTTGTGGGATCGTTTTTTAAAATATAGTAATACCAACTACAGTAGTTTGCAAGCAGTAAATAGATCTGACCCGTTGACCATCTGTTCACAAGCCCAGTACTCCAGTCCATGAGATAATTGCATTTTATTGTTGGTCTCGGAACTTGCATTAACTAAATGACATTAATAAAAGATGTGTACAATTGAAAGTCTGTGCAGTAGGAAAGTTGACTTATGAGTTCTGACCAGAAATCCATGTTTAATTTTGGGAAGTGTAATTTATGAATGGATAAATATGGAAGCACATCCCTCATTCCACCATACCATGAGGAGATTTATGTGTAGTATGCTAAATTGGGCATGTTTGTGTTGTGCTTTGTTTTATTTTAATTCAGGTATGTTTCAAACACGATGGATCATGCAAATGCTAATATCTGCTCCTGATCAGTGTAATAGTGGGTCACATTTTACTATTATTAAAATGCAAGGTATTAAGCAGTAAGGTTAAGAGATTGCAATTATAACATTTGTTTATATATAAGTTTACACAGAATATTTTCAAAACATCCCTTGTAGAAAAAAATGTGCTAACTTTAAATGTTGTGTTTATTGTTGGTTATTCATTGGTTGATTCAGGCCAAGAATAGGACACCAATTCCAGGTAATGTAAGGAGGAAGACAAAGATTCGTGCTATCTGGGGTAAAGTTACTCGACCTCATGGAACATCTGGCGCAGTCCGTGCCAAGTTCAAGACAAATCTCCCTGCGAAAGCAATGGGACAGCGCATCAGAATTGTGAGTTGTCACATGCCAAATATTGTTCTTAATTTGAACAACTTTCTGTGTTCTACAGAAAATCCAAATCCCATGGGAGATTAATTTAAATTGTTCTACACTACACTACTGTTAACTTTTTTATATTCTGCTCTTCACTATTACACTGCTTTATGTTTATATGATGTCTGTTTGGTCCAGTAAATGCAAAATATTATGTAAGAAGTTTTCAGTTGGTGGTAGTGTATATACAAAGACAGTACAGATGTTGGTGTATACTAAAGGTGCATTAGTGCATGAGCTTTTCAATCTTAAAACCTTTCTTCAAGTTCTTAAGTTTGTACTATTCACGCTTAAGGTTTTATGTAGTGCCATCTTTACTTCATTTGAAGTGGATATTGGTTTAAGTGTCCTCTGGGCTGTATTGGACTATTAGTTTGGTTCACATTAATAAGTTTTTGTTTTATTAATTTAATGTACTCTTGTTTTATTTCAGATGTTGTACCCATCCCGGATTTAATTTTTCCAGTTGTATTTGAGAAAATTTATGCCTGGGACTTTGTACAAAATAAAAAATAAATTGTCAAATTAGTAATGTGTTACTTATTTTAGAACTTAGTGTATGGGTTTGGGAAATGTTTGAGAGGTACCTGGTGTTGAATGAAAGTATAGCTCTTTCTTGACCTCAGCACTAGGTGGAGGTGAGTGATGGCATTCATGCCTCATATGTTTTCCCTCTAAGGGAAGAAGTCCTCTTTGTATTCATTGTGTCCAGTGGAAGCTGGATGGGCTTGAGAGCCAGTATGGATGCAGTAGCTAAGAGAAAAATATATTATCCATGCCAGGAATCAAACTGGTCATCCAGTCTGTAGTATATTGTATGAGCTTTCTGGCTCCTGTCAAATCTGCAGGCAAAATAAGAGCCTAATTTTGCACATAATACATATTTCCTCAGGTAAGGTTGGTTGCTTGTCTTAGGTATTGCCCATTGTGTTGTGCAGTTTTTTTGTTGCCTGTTCTGTGGGGTAGCCGTAGTTTGAGATTTAATTTAATTTAACATTTCGTATATTTTTAGAAAATAGACTAAAATGTTTAACTTGGTTGTACATAGACAAATATATTTCTTTTCAGCGTATATCCACTTTTTAAGGAAAGTAAGTTAGTGCACTTGTGTGATCATACTGTCCGTATATGTATCTGCCTGTCCCCACTCTCACTCAACTTCTGAACGAACCGACAAATTTTCACAAATATTGGTGTGAATGTTTTGCCATTGGAGGCCACATGAACATCATACATCTGTACTAATGTGGAGTAAACTTTGGTGGGGGAGGGCACCAGTCATTGATACATAAATCCTAGCATGTACTGGTATGTGTGGTAAGTGATCTTTAAAAAATATACAACATTGTTAAGGTTTTTTAATCAAACATAAAACTGCATTGCAAGTTACAGATCCTTTGGCCATGCTAGTTACATCACTATGTTTGTTATTTGATTAAAATATTTTTCTGTTTGGTGAATATACATCTAAGAGTCTGTTTAGACCTTTAATTAGAATAGCAATCTTCTCAGTCATTGTAAGATTATATGTATACAGTTTGTCAGGGCATATTCAAAGGAAAGAAACTTACTATTGCATCATTATTGTCATATACTGTATTATAGTTTTAACTTCAGTACAGAAAATGGATAATAGTACATTATTTTGGTTGTGAAAAGAAACTTCTGGTATCCCTGTCAAATAGTCTATGGTTGCCAAGTCATTAGAAAGTTATCATGCAGCACACGAAATGTAGGTATCATTGAGGTAGTATCAACAGAAATTGATGTAAATAAGTTTATCAAAATATGGGGCAACAAGTATTGGTATATCTTACCCATGCTACTGGTTTGAGTATAGCTCTGAGAATACAGTTGCATCTGTTTGCAAAACATTATAGCTTATTTTGGTTAGAATTTATATGCACATGCGGGAAAGTTATGAGTAAAGCTTAGCATTTATCCCACTTAATGATATTACTGTCATTATTACTGAAGCCTTGTGCCAGAAGTTCTGCAGATAGTATGAGGAAGTCCATGTTATTGATGGGTTTCTTGCGTGTTACTACTGCAGTCCACAGGTGGGTAGATTTCCCATGATGCGTTCCACAAAACGTCATACACAAATGTGACGGAGAAGCACGTGCTATTTTAAGTTGTATGTGACCTGTAACAGAAAATGGTCATTTTTATGTCCTTTTAGATGCATTGACAGAACTGTTCATGCATTTTAAGTGTTATTGCCAACGAGAATCTTCCTGGATGCCCAACTGTAAGTTCACAGTATTCTATAAATTTAGAAAGCTTGAGTGGTATTACCAAACTGAACAGCAGATAATTTTTTTCATACTTGCCAGTTCTTTGCTATTTGGACAAAAATGTTATCAAAAATTACATTAAGATATGCTATTCAAATTTCAGTAATTACATTAGTTATTCATGAGAATATTTTCTTATTGAAGAATATGGTAATTACTTTTGATGGAAACAAATTACTACCATAAAAATTACCACATTTGTTCATTTTCAATAAATAAGTTTGTAAAGAAATATTTGAATAAACTAATTACCTCCTAATGGGTCAGTCACTGTCCAGTCTCCTGTATGTGCTAATACAGTTGGGAGATCTATAATAGCTCCATACCCGTACTGTGGTGATTCTTCGTACCAGATCTGTTTGAATGCAGTGCTGTTGATTTTCTTGAAATTCCCTTTTATACAGCTTGAGTCGTCTTCAGGTTGTTTGTAAGGTTCATCAATAAGTAGCATTGCAAGGTTCCATTCTCCCATTATCTAAATCATTACAAGTAATTAATTTATTTTAATTTAAGCTTAATCAATATTAGGATATGTGTTTACAGCTAATTATTTCTGTAAGTAAAAATTGACAGGCTTAAGGGGGACTTTCAAATCATAAATACAATTTAGACAGAAAAGTGTATTTTGCTTTCCAGCAATTTTCCAAATTAGGTACATCACAGAACTGAGAAGATGTATGTGAAAAGTAGAACACTATATAAGGTGTGTGTGTGTGTATATATATATATATATATATGTATATATTTTTTATTTTTTTTAAAGCTGACAAACTAATTTTTGTTTGTCAAGATAATGGAAATGTTTTATTTTCCAATAAGTGGTGGTGCATGGTACTGTGTTCTCGTTTTCTATCCTTGCTGCTTATTTTTTCATTTATTGGCTGTACTGATTGTGCTAATTTAATTAAATAAATATTCTCACTACATTGACAGGGAGACAAGCAAATGTTTACCTGTGAATACAGTCTGTACAGTATGATTGGAGCTAAGAGAAGGGATGTAGAGGACTGAGAAAAATACATGAACTACATAATTTACACTCTTAGCCAATTATTGGAGTAATCAAATTAAGGTGGATTTTGTGGGCTGGATAGTGTGTATGACGGGAGCATTAGAAGTGCATACAAGATTGAAGACTGAAAATGTGAGAAGAAATGGCCACTTGGGAGATCTAGGCTTGGTGGAAAGATAGTATGAAAATGGATTTTAAAGAAATAGGGTGTCTGGTTGTGACTTGGATTCAAGTGTCCAAAGGTGATGGTTCTTGTAAACACAGTAATGAACCTTTGAGTTTCATAAAATACGGGTAATTTCTTGACTCACTCAGTTCGTGAATGTCAGCTTTTCAGAAACGTTTTAACAGAATGGTCAAAAATGGTATGGCCAAGCATCTTCATCTTAATATTCACAGAAAAATGAAAAAGTAATAACTGAGGAACAAAGTATATGACTCTTGGAGCAAAGTCATTTGGAAGCCGATGGTATGCTCAGCTAGTGAAGTATGGAACATGAAGGTTCATTGTCATGTTCACAAGAGCTAGTCATCATTCTCAAGTCTGAGGCCACTCATAACATTCTGATTTTTTATGGAGGGAAATTAACCCTCTGTCCAATCTCCAAGTTAGAGGGCTACCACCCTTGTCAACTGTCTGTGACTGCTTATTCAATATTTGTATGTATGCATAAAAGTTATGTAACACTTGCACCTTGTATAACAAACCTTGTTGATGCCAAAGTTCCTCTTGGATTTGAAGGAAGGGCAGGGCTTCATAGTAGAATGAAAATCTGGAGCTGGAGTCACCAGTATCCCTAGATGTAGACAAAACACTAGAACTACCTGCTTTAACATTTTTATGGTACTTCAACAATGAAAGGTAAATTGGCTTTTATATATTTAAATAGAAGCAAATAGAGGGCAGTATTTAGGAAGTTAACCATCCAGTAGGTCACTGACAGCTTGGCATTTATCTTATCTGAAAGTATTTATAACACTGCAGTAAAATCACACCACTAATATCATTTCTCTGATAACAGAAATCTGCAGGTTGTTAACCCTTAATAACTCAAATGTGTTGAGTGTGTCAGTAACTTCCTGTATATACATTTCCTGTTTCCCATTTTCCTACAGTTGACAGTCTTTTATATAGTGATAAATCCATTCTGTCATCCAAGCTCTTAATTATGTTGTGATAATGTGTTATATTATTGTTTATAAATACATATTTAAATTATATAGAAACGTTCCAGTTCTGTGTACTTTGCAGGGTATTGTATTGTCAGCATCATGATTACCAATCTTGCTATGTATTTGTGAGGTCTGTAGTTCAGTTCCCAAGATCTATTTTAATTTATATCTTGTGGTGTCCATCAACACCAAATTTTGGACAGTAACATCAGCACTCTTTCTGTTCTGTAGCAGCAGTGGCTTTTTGGATTGCACAATTTCAAATAAATCAGTGGCAAGCAAAGAGAATGGTTTTTGATTTCATGCAAGTAATCTGATAGCCATAATGAAAATGCCTAAATTGTTAATGGAACATTGTTATTCTTATAGATGTGTGTGTGTCTTTGGAAATGTTGATGCTAATGGACCTGTTCAGTCCCCAGTTAATACAAATGAGTGAATACATAACTGTACTGAGATGATACTGATGGGTAAAACTAAGAAACCTGGAGAAAAACCTGTGCTTGTGTCGCTTCGTCAACCACAAATCCCACAGATTGTGTTGGGTGTGAACCCAGGCCTGTGCAGGGAGAAGTTGGCAACTAACTGCCTGAGCTATGACATGGCCTGTTAATAGAAAACAGGCTAAATCAGAAGTATGTTTACAAACTTCGTGTGCATGTTCCAGGATCAAAAATAAGAAAAAATGTTCTTATGAACATGGGGTCACAAATGTTTCATTTTCAAAATAATAGCCAAAAATAAGTTTCAATGAATTGACTTTATATCAAAGTGAATCCAGCTTGCAAGAAAGATTTTAAATTAACGTTTGGACAGGAATTGTTGGTGACATGCTTCCATTGCGTCTAAGAGGACCTTCATATCGGTGGTTCTTAAGAAGACACTTGCCACGTCTCCTTTGAAGATGTACCACTGAATACAAGAAGACAAATGTGGTTTATGCACGACAGAGCCCTGTCACACTTCTCCCACCATGTCAGATATCATCTCAATGAACAGTACACTCAGCGATGGATTGGGCATGGTGGCCCAGTAGCATGGCCACCGAGGTCACCAGACCTGACCGTTGGACTTTTATCTGTGGGGTCACTTGAAGTCTGTCGTTTATGCAACACCCATAAACAATGAAGATGACCTATGGGAACTTGTGCAGAATGCATGCCACATGATTCGAGGAAACCCTGGTGTGTATGAATGAATTCGTCAGTCTTCTGTACGTCGTGCTTGTGCATGTGTGGAGAATGGAGGAACAACTTTTGAGCATCTGTTATAAAGAAATATCCCTGTCATTATACTTGGCAATAAAGGCATACATTGAAAATTATTTTTGGCTATTATTTCGAAAATGAAACATTTGCAACCCCATGTTCATAGGAACATTTCTTATTATTTTTGATCCTGGAACACGCACACAAAGTTTGAAAACATTCTTCTGACCCACCCTGTATATTATATTAAAAAGCAAATATGTAAAGTATCAAATAGGAAGTTATATTCCAACAGTTGGGTCTACAAATTTGCATGTTGTGTTCATTTACCAGCCTATTTATAGGTAAATTTGGAAAGTCCATATTTGTTGTGTACATATGGCCTTGTTACTTAGAAAGTTCTTCCATGTTTCTTTGAATACATGACACATTTAAACTGTAACAAATGTCCTCCCTGCATGTACAGGGTTAGTGTAGTATTGATCATTTATTTTTTGACGTAAATACATCTATACGGAAGGATCATTCGGCAAAAAAGTGAAAGGAAAACGTGTAACGAAAATGTGTAAGATCCGTATCAACAAATCGACAAAAATGGTTACCTAGGAAACGTCATATGTTTACTCGGCATTGTTACCTAGGAAACGTCATCTGTTTACTCGGCATTGTTGTTAATATTGTTGTAATTAAAGCTAATATATAAACTTTCTTTCCGTATAGACGTATTTACGTCAAATTCTCCGGAACGGTGGTTCCACTGTCAACTTTTTTTTACATTAACTGTTATTGGCTGTGTATCCTGGAAAATATATGGCCAACTGCACGTGTGCAGCAGCATACAACAAAACAGTTAAACCCGAATGTTAGTGTTGCCAACATCCATGAAGGGGTTTTAATCCCCTTCCCAAGTGGTCAATGTTATTATAAGAGGATCCATCTATCACCACCACGACCGAAAAGAGAATTTCTTTTGTTGGTTATTGCTTCAACACGGTCATTCGGCAAAAAGTGAAAGGAAAACGTGTAAGATCCATATCAACAATGTGTAAATATGGACCGACAGCAATGGTCAGCTTGCGTGCGTTATTATGTTACCTAAGAAACGTCACCTGTTTACTCGGCATTGTGTTACATTACTGCCGTCAACAATCCGCTTTCGATATTGCGGAAAGAGCTGAGCTGTGAATCGGTTGTAGAAGAAGTGCATCGTAGACTAGATAATTTTGTGCTCGTAAAAGCGTTTTAGAATGTCACAAGTATTTATCTTATATAAGAATTATTAAATTACATTACATTTCATTTCATTACATTACAGTACAGAGACGTATTTACGTCAGATTCTCCGGAACCGTGGTTCCATTGTCAACTTATGTGGTAATGAAAATAAGTTTAAAATAGGCAATTTGTTTACAAAATAAAAGAGCAGACTAATTTCGAACAGTAAGGAGTCTCTCTGCACATAGCAAGAAGAATGTAATCTCTGCAACCAGCGAAGAGACGAGTGCAATATTTTACAGTAAAAGACAAACGACAAACTACTTCAAATATACGATATCTCGAATTCAATTCTACTATGTACCATTCGTATGTGACAGTTGGTGCTCATATGTTTGATTAGTGTAGTTTATTATGTAAAAGCATGCTTTATTGGCGATAGAAGTCACTGTTCAGTACTCTGACGTATTATTTTTACAAATGCAATACAGGACAAGTTTTGCTTAGGGAAGAATGTTTCTTTATTACTGAACTTTCTGATTACAGTGAAGGCAGAAAATGTCTGTAGTATTTTGTTGTCTTAAAAACTGTTTTGATGGAATCGGTTTATCACAAAATAATTTACCGCGGAGAGAAGTTAATCCTATAGTGCTTGATACAGGTCACATGGGTAAGTTCAAGCGTTAGTTGATTTAAATGAACATTTTCTTTGTGTATGTCTGCAGAATTATAGCATTGTACTGTTTCGTTTCATTTCAATTTTGTTGTCCTGTATTTCAGGTCATGAAGTAGTGGTAGTAAAAAGTGGACAGCGAATATGCGGTAGTGGTGGTGCTCTGGCCAGTGCACCGTTAGTACAAAGTAAAGCTTATTTTGAGGTTAAAATACAACAGTCTGGTAAATAAATTTTTGTTACATATTGTTTGTAAATGTTTGGTTTATCGTCTTAGGTGAACTTAATCATAAAAGTTCTTATGTTTTTTAATTTTTTTTATAGGTTTGTGGGGTGTTGGTTTAGCAACACGAAATACAGACTTGAACCAATCACCAGGAGGACATGATGCTGAATCTTGGGTTCTGTGCTGGGATGGGGTATTTAGGCATAATAATACAGAACTTAACAAAATACAAGATTGTGCTCAGGAGGGAGATATTTTGGTAAGCATTTCACAGTTGGCCTTTATGACTAGTTGCACTTACTTTACAATTGTTTACGGTTACATTGATAAGAGGGTAGTTCCTATAATGTAAGAACATGTTGATAGCATCAACATTAAGAGATTAGATAGGATGGAATAGTTTGTTGGGAACCACCATGTTCTTTTCATGATAGTGCTGAAAAGGTAGGATGTGTCATCCCTCCTGACCAGCAGTATATGATTATCCTCTCATTTCATTGTTACACAGCTTGTATAGTTTATACATCATTATTAAGTTACATCAGTATGATAGTTGTGTGAATGTAGTGTAATTAATGCCTGCATTGTTTTATTACAACTCCTGAATCATTTTATTTAGGGGGTCTCTTATGACCACATTGAGCTCAACTTCTTTATCAATGGTAAACCTACGGATAGCCCGATGACTGGCATCAGAGGCAGTGTATATCCAGCTTTATATGGTAAGTAATCACTGATTATCCTTTGTTAAATATGTTATTGTTAGAGTGGATTCACACAATTACTCTCCTTTGATGCTACAGCCCATTTCAGGGCTGTACTTGAAATCCTGTTGTTGAGGACTTCTGAGGTTTACATAATATCAGGAAAAATTGTGTTTATTTCAGTGGATGATGGAGCTATATTGGACATTGTTCTTGACAACTTCCATCATTCTCCACCAGGAGGTTTTGATAAGATCATGCTAGAGCAGAGCCTTCTGTAATACAGTGCTGACCTACAGATTTTAACTTGAATGTCCTCAGCATTTTTTTCCCTCCATTACACAAGAAAGAGGAGTCCATCCACTAAAATGATAATATACAAGCTGATCCTATTCTAAAATTGTCCCAGTATTCACCAGAAAACCTTTACATCTGCCTTATGGAAAAGTAGTACAGCTGTTCTTCATTTTGTATGTTGTACTTGAAATGTAAAAAGCATGCAAGTAATAATTTTGAAATTCTGGAATATTAATTCATAGTATATTCATATACTAGGAGTATGGTACATTTAAATTAACAGGAAATATAAAGTATTAATTCAGGTGAATCATTTAAACGAAGGAGTGAAGTTAAAAAATTTGTATAATATTGTCGCCTTTTGAGAATAACTTATGAGCACTTCCTCACTAATTAAGGAAGTGTCTGCAATTGATTTTTCTTTTATTTCTTCATAAGATATTTACACTAGGTTATCCAAGTCTACATCTCTTTCAGAGGCTAGGTTGTTCCTTGGAAACAGGTTTGTAATTGATTCTACTTATTATGTTAATAATGGCTTATGACCAAGAAATTGTGGTACTGACCATATCATTGAAGAAACTATAATGGTCTTGTTGGAGTTGTTGAAACTTTGTACTTCATAGAATATGAAGGAAGGAAATCTCCCTATATAATTTATATCATCTATTCCTGTTTATTTCATAGTACTATGTAGATGGTAAATAAGTAATATTGCAGATACATTATATCATAGTTTAGCATATGATTTTCTGATGAATATGGAAAGATGTACTCTAGTATGTCTTGTGCTCTTTATGGGGATGTATGTCAAAACAAAACAATGTTTGCTTGTCATGGCCTGTTCTTTACCTCCAGAAGATTTTGCAGAATCATGTGTTAAAACTTGGTGCAATGTGCTTGAAAATGCATTGCTATGGTAATGTTCCCATAGACATTAGCATGTCCTTCAGATTTGCAGGAATTAATGGAGTGTGGATTTCTTGTATGCAGGCATAGGATAAGAGCTTTTCCCATCTGTTGTAAAGTGTGGTAAGAAAATATACTTTCTCTCTGTAGACTGGAAAATATATTTTTGTTTAAAAAGTATTCTCATCCATTACCTATACTCAACAATGGTAAGGTAAAAGTTAAGTTATCCCTGTGCTTAAAGAACTGTTCTTAAGGTATGTGGGTATGGAAATAAATTACCACATTCTTGTTCATGGCATTTGAAGTGAGTGGTCAGCTTTCAATGGGAAATTAGGTAAGCCTGAAAGTCATTATGGGTGCTGTTGAAAAGGCACACATTTCTGCCTGAAATTGAACTCTGCTTGTTTAGTCAGTAGCATGACAATTTAGTGACTGAGCTGTCATGGCTCTTACCACTGTGCAGTATAGAATATGAATTTTGAATCAGAGGTACAACTGTCCAGGTGGTTGAGATCACTCTCCAGGCTTCAGTCTTCTTGTATGAGTCCTGGTAGTCTGGAATCTGCTGATACTTCTCTTTGGGATCAACTTAGATTCAAGTAGTGTGTTTTGAGCATGGGTGCTTCAGCTATTTTGTGGAGAAATTCTTATATTATCTCATGGTGAATACAGGGTGGCCCTGGAATAAGTTCTAGAGGGTGTGAGCAGGTGTTTGGTGACACTGACTGATATAAACAAAGGCAGTTGCCAATACCAAGTTCTACAATAAGAATTGGATCTGCTCATTGTGTTGATACATGAGTTACCCAGTAAATATATTTATGCTGTACGTACTTCACAAATACTTTAGTTATCTTAGAACAATTGAACTATACTTTTACACAGTTGTTGCTTGCGTAATCAAGATTTGTATTACTGGTGTGTTTGATTTTGTACTGTCCTCAATTTTAGATTATAAGCTTTGAGTTGAAATAATTTAAAAATACAACATGTTGAATGTCAGACCTGAGTAATTACATTTTATTGAACGAAAGTCTACATGTGACTTGAACTGCGATGTATCAGACAGAAAAGTAGACTAGAGTGCAGTGTGTTTGAAAAGTGATACATTACAAGAATATATGCATAGCTATTATGAGGCAATCATAAAAGCTAGGGTATTCCTGGCTCTGTCATGTAGGCTGTTGTCATACTTAATGGGACTGCCCATCTAATTGGTGACTCCACTTGAAAATTTTGATAAATTTGCAGAGGTTGTTGGGGGCCTACATTAAGCTATGCTATTGGGTTCATGGAGGGAATGAGGAAAACTGCACAGAAACCTAGCCAGAATAGCATGCCCTGCTTGGTATGGAATTCATTATTACCAGTACAGAAGTCATCTGACTTTTCATAATTGATCTTGTGCTGAAGTCAGCTGAAGTAAAGTGCCCATACACTAGAGCTAAAGGAATATTCTAGGCTGCTGTTTATTAATTGTTTTGATGTGATGACACACAAAAATACATTTCAGTATCTCATAGCACAGCAAATTATGTATTACACAGAGGTGTGTGTGCACATGCAAACATAAACTGTATTATTCTTGCTACTGTTATACTTTTAATTTATATCTATTTATTGTAATTTTCTGTGCAATTAACAAAAGGTTTTAAGGTAGCAACAACTTTTTATGAACAGGAAATTCATAACAAGAGAGGCAGACAAAAGTTGTAAGTAAAACTGGCTATTCTGAAAGAGCACAATAAGCCTACATAAGTATAAATATTTTTTAAATATAATTAATTTGCGTTGTTATAATTGAAACATGTGAAATGAAGCAGCTGTTTGTTGACAGGTCACAAATATTAATATTATAATTTATTACATTAATATTAAGATATTACTTAGAACTGCAGCACGCCAACAGGTTTATAAAATGAGGCTGAACCATATTCACACGCTTTATGAATTACTGTTACATGTATAGAAAAACATTTTAATTTTAAAATTGTGACTCAATAATACCCACTGGTTGAGAAAAATTATGTAGGAAATCTGCCAGTCTATCCCAAAGGGTTTGCATGACATGTATTGCATATTTTCATTGTATAAATGGTTGTTTGGTATTTGCAACATCTATATATACATGTTGATAAAAAAAGTCATGCATCCCAATCCTGACATGTTCTGTTTGTCAAAAAGTGAATTACATTGAAATATGGGCGGAAAAAATGTTACATTAAGTGCTGGAAATGTCTGCTTTGTTCAGTGATGCATTCACTCTTTTCCTCATGTTTGATGCTGCAACACAATGAATAGTTTCAGCAGTGACTGGAAACAGTTTAGCAGATGAGATTTCGTTAATTAACTCGGCACAGAAGAATTGGGAAATGTAACACTAAATTCATTCTGGCAAATTAATTAAGGATGAGATGCCAAGTGTTCAACAGTGAGCACTTGTGAGAATGACATCTTTGCACTTCACACGTTGAAAGACTACTACTAACAGACTATAGTAAAAATTCATCCAGTTTTAAAAATAAAATTATTTTGTTCTTTGGGAGGAACTACCTCTGGAACTTAGGTCTGAGAGAGTATTTTATATATTGGACCTAAAAGTAGTCTGCCAGTAAAAGTCAGATACAAAATTCTCCCTCACCTCCTGTAAGACAAGTCTTGTAGATATTGGTACAGTATAACAGAGGAATTTGTATGATAAATAATTATACCAATTCATGTAATTACTTCCTTTAAAATATATTTATAAACCTATTATACTTGTACATGGAGAAGTATGATATGCTTACATACAATCATGTTTTGTTTAGGAGTGGAGTGCTTCATGATCTTAAAACAGTACTAAAACATGTTACATAGTGATACATTTATTAATCTTATCAAGTGATTCTCTTTCTTGCCTGGACATTCTTAGAATAACTGGATAGGATTCCCATTTCATAGACTTTTTTTAAGTACAGTACATAACAGATCTCATAGAGATCAGATATTTTCATTCACTTGCTTGTAAAATAAAAAGGACATTTCTTCCATCATGGTTGATCAGGTTGTTGTATACAATATTACAACTTAAAAAGAATGTTGATTTCTTGGTAAGCATTTCTGATTTGAAAACCAAAGAGTGAATATGGAAATGCCATTGCACTGGCATTATTACTAATGTGAGGCTGAAATATATAGGCCATATAAGAATTTATGTAGTGAAAGAATTGTGAATTATGTATGCAATAACTTGCCAGTCCATCAAAATATACATCTGATTATGTTTAATAATGCTTATGACAAAGATTTTTATATCAAACCTTCATTTTATAGCTTTCTAGTAATCATAAACTTATTATTCAGAGGGACACATTTGGCTACTGACCATCAGCATGTAAGTGGTTTGAGCTTCAAAGATCAGGTAATCATGATGAAGGATACTTAAAAATAACTAACATAATACCAGAAAATGTCAAACATAAAGGACATGAAAGGAACAAACATACAATGATATGTAACTTAGGTAGGGGATGCCCACAGACACTAAAAAATAAATGTGTAAATTTTTAAAATTTTGCTAATGTAAGTTAAAGGCTCCCATATCATGCTCCATAAATTACTTTATGACTATGTTAATTGCTTAAAAACTAGTGTTAAGTTTGAAGAGCACTTAATGAAATCTCTTCACACCATCTGATCTATAATAATGAAGTTTCTTAGAACTGAAAGTTGCAAATGTTTGACTGTGACTTGAGGGATATATTTTTAACTTTTAGTTGTATTACAGTGGGACATGAGAAAATAGCTTTGGGTGCAACAGAGTTCAAAGATCATTTATACAGTAGCTTTCAATCTATTTGAACAGAAGCCTCTGAAACACTATGAAAAAGTAAAGACTAATAAAAGTTGCATATTCATGTAATTATAAACACATTTTCATTTAAACTCTTCACATTGAAAATTAGGCCAGCAGTACAAGTGCAGAATCTTTCCTACAGTGACAAGCACCAATACTTTTAAAAACTATCAAATGAATGGCTGTATTTTGTACTTTATATCATTCATACTAAATTACAATCAGTTTTTCTGTGCTGATAAAAATATTTTACACTTCTGAGCTGCAGAGGATAGATAAAAAACATTACCGAAGAAACTCCCATGAATATACAAGTTGAAGACAACTGCTATTTAACACATGATGTGAAGTAAATTTAAGATAATTTAGATGAGGAAGCACATCACAGAAACTATTTCAGAAATAATTGAATACTGTTAAGAGACCAGGCTGTGAAAAATGTGAAATTAGATTCATGTTCTTGCCATGCAACTGGTGGCACTTATATGAATGCAACGTAGATGCTCCATTCCTTTTGTACCTGCTTAACTCAGCCCTTTAATTTTTATGAACAGAACAGTTCTGCCACATGGAAAAGCAAACTCTGTATTATGGATGGAACTGTTCCACCGAATATATATACGAATATACACCACTAATTTACTTCCACAACTATCAGTGAATTTCTTTTATATGATTTGCATTTTAGAGATAAAAGGAAATTTTTGTACAGGGATGAGAAAATGTAAATTTATAAATATTAACACACAACCATTTTTTTAAAACAGGGTTAACAGGCATGTCTTCTTTGTCTGCATGCATCAAGGAAATTTTTAAAAATTCTTCAGTAAGAATTGAAAGCTTTCTAAACAAAGCATAACACATTAAATCCATGCAGAACAGTGTTCATATTTTTATTACAGGATTTACCTATGTGTAGAATTGTATACTGTAGTTCATAGCCTAGTTTGATTTAAGAAAAAATGTCAAGAAGTTGTTTACTCCATACTTATTTCAGACAAGAATGCCAAGACCAGTAGCACAATGGGGGAAATTTTTAAATGTAGTTTTTTTAATTCTTTGACATTACAGACCAGTAGACATCCTGCTTACATGTTATGGCAACCAAAAAGAACAAATGTTACTGGCATGTGGCTGTTAAGTGCAAACTAAAAAAGATGAACAGCAATAATATGAAGATAGCCGTCTTCTGGGTTGTAGTGATTCATCATCCTCATGATGGAGGCAGCAAGGACCTCTGAAACAATGGTCATCTTTTACCATACTACACTGCTACAACACAGAAGACGCTATCTTCAGACTCACCATTACGAAAACCTCAAATCTGACTTAGCAATAATATAGTTCTATGGAAAAGGCAAATTATTTATTTCAAGGCAAGATATCCATAATTAAATTGCTGTGATATTCATGTAATTAGGTCAACAGCCAAGTGAAGTCAAACTACAAACAAGAGTTGCCATTTTCCATTGGATTTATAATTTAAATTTAATTATATCTCATTAGAATGGAAGCTTCATAAATATAAAACTGACACATATCAAAATAGATGTTATTCCTTATTATTAATTGGCTATATCTTAAAGTAAAATTTAATGATATACTGTAATGAATGGCAACAGAACAAAAACTTTGTAAAATTAGAGTAAATTCAGGGAATAGTTGTTCTTCACAATGTTCAATCCAAGTGCAAACTATCAGAGCACCTTAAAATAGAACAGGATTTGCACCTCACAAAGCCTAAATTCTAACATCAGCACCCTAATAATGGTGCAATAAGAAGTCGGTAATAAATGCTCGTTAACATGTGACGAATAAAGGAAATAATACAATGTGTAATGTCAAAAATATCAGTGACCTGCATCATAGTTGGCAATTTTTTTAGCACATAGGCAGGCCATCCAATTACTTTTATTAGAACAAAACAGATGTGACTTCCATCTGAATCTGACTGTAATTCATATCGATACACTGAATTGCCTAAGATTCTTATAAAAGTTCCTTATACATAAAATTCTTTAATATGTTTAAGTTTATCGTGGACATTAGATAATTAAGTGTTACAATATTAAATAAGATTTAAATGTCATGTTAATTTGTCAGTAGGCAGTGCATCTTCTCCAGCAAAATAAGCTCTGTCTTGAATGTAATACAAATAATTTATCTACTGCCATGATCATTTAATAATCTGGACTAAAAATTAAGTTAAATTCTACATTCTTGGCTTTTTATTAACATTAATGCTGTTCATCAGTTTCCAAACTGCATGTACTCATGTATCAAGGATCTTCCATAACCCATAAATTAAGGAATCATGTCTTTTAGTTCATAGAGTTTGGTTGGTTGTGATGTCCTCTGAAGAAAAAATAACATATTTGAATAAAAACGATAATATTTAAATTATGTGAAAACAATATATCAGCCATTTTAAAAATAACATTAACAAGACAGTTGTGTGTGTTAACATACTAGCAAACCACCCTAACTGCTGGTCTGCTGTTTAGTATCACATATCATTATAAAATTTGAGTACAATATTATTTATATACTACTAAGTTAATATCTCCAAAGATAAAACTTCTTAGAATCCTAAAAAATAACAACAAAAACCCTGTTTCATTTAAATCAGTCATATGACTCAAATCATATTTTCATGGCTGCTATTACCACCACAATTAAATTAAGTCTGGTCAGATTGAACTTCACAGTATTCATATATGCTGGCTTCACTTCTTCATTATGTATCACAAGTCATCGTATACCTTACACATACTATTATTATATTTATTGCATATGTTACAATGTTTCCAGTTATGTAATTCAACTTAATGACATTCTTAAAAAAAAGCAAATCATGGTACTTTTAATCTCAACTACGTACTGTTACAAATTGTTACTGAAGAGGTGTAATTAAAAGTGGAAATTATAAACTTATCATTATGCAGCCTGCTTCATGCATGGTTGGCTCCCATGTTGCAACTGTGATTTATACAGCCTGTATAAAAAACCATATGGCACAGTTTTTGCATTGGAGTAAATAGCTTTGCACAATCTTCTCTGTGGTTTAAAGTTTAGTTCATGACAATTTTAGTATTTACATACCTTAACAGTAACAATATATATATTTATAAGTGACCTATTTCTGACATTAGTCAACAAAATAATATATGCTGAATAATTACTAAGACATTAAAACTAAACTATAACACAGGACACACCTTTTGTAACTCTCATGCTGTATACTATTCAAATAATTGTAAAACATCTCTCATTTAACTGTTTATCAATTATGTTGGGTTAAAATGAAAAAGGACCCTAAATTTGACCTGTAGAAAAAGATGTTATGTTTACCTAAAATATAGAATGGCTTGAAATCACATGTTATGTAAAATTTTATAATGTCATGTTCATTTTGTACACTTGTTTTTCATGCACAGTTATTCCAAGGGCTCTTAATTTAAAACTCCAGTGATGCAGATTTAATGTTTATGTTTTATTATAGTTTGGACAAGCTAACAACACACACATGAGCTGGTTCAGCCTCATGGCAGTCCATCTAAATTGTCTGTTATACTTTTTTGGTGCCTCCAGATTAATTCTGGAATATCTTAAATTAGGCCATAATTTACACTGATTTAACAGCCATCCTAATCTCCATCATTCATCACCACATAATGGGAAAATATTGTAAATATATAGATCGGTGCACAGCATTACAGGGATAATCCAATATGAACTTTTTAACTGAACAGTTCACTAGCCCTCTAATATTATAAACAAATTATATTTTACATATAAAACAATAACTTGCACCTGATGTAAACTGCTCTCCTCATGCCCCTTAGCTGTCACTGGTACATTACAATCCAAATGCATATATATTGCTCTTCTGTTCCAACTTCCATGAATTGTCATGTCATCATAAATAAGACTGACTGATTTATGCATATGAAACATCAGTGGATCGAGCTTCAGCTTTATCTGACTTTAGGGTACATTTAAAGGGAGTAAACCATCCAAATACTTTGCAAGGCCAAGTTTCATTCCCAAAAGCAGTTTTAACATATCAATTTCCTTGGCTGTCTTCCCATACTTCATAATACAACTTGAACGTATTACTTCTTTACACCAGTAATTTAAAAAGACAACACATTTGACACACACCTCCACAAAACAGTTTTTCTCTCATGAGTGAGACAAAGTGGCAGCAGAGGCATAAATTCAGCAGAAGCTGGTAAACTACATTACTTGCCGAACAGCCTTGTAATGTGCTTCTTTTCCATGCAGCAGTCAGTCTCCAGACAACACCTCAATACCCCATCACCACCTTGGCTGGTTTTTGTGAAACTTGACACGTGTCAACTGTAACCTTAAGACTTGTGATGCCATGTAGTCTTGTAGGTGCCTACCAAAATGTTAGAGGAGTGTATTGCCCCCATCTTCATAATGGAGGTGGCCTATGGGGATAAAGGAAAGAGGGGTAAAAGGTGAGGGCATCCAACAGGAAAATGGATAAAAGGAAAAAGTATGATAAGATAGACCCTGAAAGCCCTATTAGGGAAAGCTTTTAATTGAAGCCTTGCTCCTATAAGGATAACAAGTAGAGAAAGACCAAGTGGAGGTATGCCCTTGGTGATAATCTGCTTAGGGTACAATATTCCCTGTTCATTGTTTATAGGATGAACTTTATCTCTGTCACTTCACTGATAATCTGGTTTACATGTCTGGAATTTTGGCCAAGATAGTGATTTCCTGCAGCTGGGCGGTAGAAATGGATATGCCACATGACCCTGGTCTTAGTTGAATGTCTGATTTCACCAGTATACGTGGTCCCACATTTTCAAGGGATGCTGCATATGCCCAGTATTTGTAGGACTATATCACCCTTGATGGGCTGAAGGAAGATGGAGACTTTCCTTAATGGGAGGCCTGCCATTTTGATATTGTGCTTGGACAACACCCTGCTAATGTGATCAGAGTTGGTGCCAAAAAGGGGTAAAAGAGCCACTGAAGTTGGATCCTCTTTACATGATTGGAATGTCTAGGTAGATATGGGCTTTCCACCCACCTACAAGACTACACAGCATTACAACCCAGAGGACCACAACTGATATATTCACTGCCATGAAAACCTCAAAATATTAGATAAAGTAAACCTCTTTTACACTTGGCTAAATTTCATTTTTGCTTCATAGATCTTTACAATTACAGCAGTCATGGCTTTAATTGGGCTACAGCACCAAAAGTAGAAGAAAACTGAATTACATTTATTAAAGTTTATGACTACATCTTACTGAAAGGAAAAATAATTTCTACATTGCAGTTTAGGTACCTCACACAAATGCCATGGATATGCTTAAGAATATATGGGAAAAGGATAAATTCTAGTCACTTCTCTTTCTGGGCAGTTTATTGCTAGCCCTCTGTTGGTTAGTGGTTTTAAGCATTTTGGGTTATGTTGATTGTCATACAGCATGAACTGCAAAGTTTAATGGATTTCCCTATGTCTTTAACATAGTTGACAACCACACACCAAAGAACCCCAGCAGGGTCTACCATGGATGATGTTTGTAAGTTAAACTTTTATGAGATGTGATTCTAGTCAGACACTAAAGCCTTTTTGTTGTTAAAGGTTTCCATATTTTAGCTTTTGAGCTCATGGAAATTACAGTTAACTCTGTCCATTGCCACAGAACCCAATCCATTTTGAATGTCTTGTTTAAACAGACTGTGCTTTTAAGATAGTGAATGCAGCAGTTTTTCTTTTGTATTATTGTGCAAAGGTAGTTAATCATAGAAACCATGTCATATGTTGGTATATTGCAAATTACTAACAATACTGTTTCCAAGTTCTGTGTAGGTGAGAATGAAAGTAAAGGCAGCTCACATTTTTACTAAATTACCTATGCAGGAGACAGGTGTAATCTTATTAGCAGGCCAAGGATTTGTAATGAACTGGGAATGAGGAGATGGTGACAGCCTAATTTAATCCTATGTACACTGAGCAGTCCTCTGTGTAGAGTATGATATATTACCTTAAATTAGGCCATGATTTACCTCCTTCCATATCAAGTTGACTGTTCTGGGTTTTTACACCATGTAGCTGCATGTGCAAAGCTTACTCATCACCCTAATGATGAAAGCAGCAAGCACCTCTGAATTGTAAGTAAACTTCTACCAGACTGCATGGCAAAATGACCCAAAGACAGACATCTTTATACTCACTGCTGTGAGAACCTCAAATCTTTTTTCCATCATATGCTTTATAATTCATTAATAATCCTATACTCTGACACTATATAATCTGAGGTAGTGACAGCGTGGTTAAATAAGCCACAAAGAAAAAACCTCAAAAAAGGAAATACTGCCAATTATAAATGGAAACATATTTCACTTGTACCTTTGTATTCGTATATTATATAGTTCCACAAAATTTTTCTTTTGCCTCACTTAAAATGTTTAATGAATGTAAAATAATCAAATAGACTGTTTTAATATTTACCATACAACATACTGCTTGGTGTATTTTATGCATGATTCAGTGTTATATCTGTGTGTAAATATGCTATTTTGAAATACAAAAATGAAGTGTTCCAGCCAAGTAGGTCTAAAATGATACATAATTTTTTAGTGCACAAATACATGGTTGGCCATGTATAAGATTTAAATACATTAATCTCTTGATTATTCATGATAATATGAGAAGGAGAATCAGCAATTTTAGAAACTTCATAGCATTGTGCATGAAGTATTAACAGCTGGCCAGAAATTAATTTTTCCTTATATTTTGTTAAATATTTAACATCTAAAAATACCTGGAATATATGTTGCAGAGTTTAATGAAATTATGTTATTTTTTAAGAAACTTGTAGTTTGTGCTTTACATATGTGATGTACTGGAGTGACATTTGCATAACTGTTGACATCCTTCCTCCCACAGCGCCAAATTTAAACAGAATTTTTCTGGTACTTTCAGGGATAAAACGTATAGATGTGTTTGCTAACTTTATACACTTTCTGCAAAGAATACATATAAATTAACTTTTAGTTACAAATGTGATGTAGGTCTAATGATCAAATATAATTTATTTTCATGAGATCTTGCCAAGATTTCCAGATCGTTGCTTGTCCTTTTCATGACTTTTGTTATAGTATAAAATATAATGCCAAGACAGTGAAGTCTTGGGTGATCATCTTTGTGAAAATGTTATTGTAATCCAATATTTCAGAGAGACTGCCCCCATTAATCAACTCTGAAGATGGAGGCAGAGACAGCTTCTGAAATGGATCACAATGCCACTTTCACACAGCTATTACCAGAGAAGACTTTGTTGCATTCAGTCACCATAAAAGTTTCAAATGTCACATATTACAATGCCATCCAAATTTCACTTCAAAAATGTAATATAAATTTTTTAAAGTATGTCATTAGCCCTGGAACAGACTTTGTTTTGTACTGTGGTTCATTTAGTACCTTGAAAATTATGAAGCAATCAGTGTTTAATGAGGCTTAATATGTAACAAAGACCATGGATAACAGCCTTGTCACTGATATCAGACAACAGAGACACTGTTAACAATTGGCCTTGAAGGGACTGGAAGTAAAAGCATATGTATGTCATTAATAAATGCTCCACAGTGCAACCAAGAGCTAAGAATTATTAGTCCTTGCTCCAGCTTATTCCCTCTTTGAATGCAAAATGCTAACTGCTACATTCCTAATAATGTTTATCAGCAACATTTTCATCCAAGACCATCTTTAATTAAAGTAGTCTTAAAAGAATTAACCAGGATTCAGATGAAATCAATTTATTTTCACTTTCATCATTTGTGTGGTGCTGTGCTGCTGTCATCAGCATCAATAATCTGATCCCAATTGAATGCTTCTGACTGTCTACCTGGAAGGTCACCCAGATGAGCAAATCTCTCATGAAACTGGCTGTCTCGTTTCTGTAACCGTTCAAAGCGTTGATACATCAGTTTCTGAGCAAATGCGTACAGTTCCAGGTCCAGTACATTCAGGTGCCGAATTGTTTCTATTTGATCTGGTCGGATTGAACTCAATGTTGCACTTGATAAAGTTGTATTGTTTTGTTCAAAAGGGACTGCAAATCGTAGGTTGAATGTCTCCTCAAAAACATACTGGCTGACCTAGAAAAAGAAAAAAAATTGTTACCGCAACAAGAGAAACAAAGCATGTATCTTTTATATTACATTTATCGTGGAATATATAATGAAGGTTTAGTTACAGAAGATAATTATTATAAAAAATGTGAAGGCCCCAAGACTCCTTGGCAGTACTGTTAATGGAGATTGGTGCTGAAGACAAATGTTAGGATGAAGTAGTTTTAAACTTCCATAAAACATTTAAACAAGGAAAGTTACAGATTCCACCTTGAGTTAATCTCTGTACTGATGGAAGCTAAAAAAAGGCTGGTAACAAACTTCAGTAAGATCACTTACCTATGTTTGTATGAAGTGTTGTTTATATTAACTTTGTAACTATTAACTCCCCTAGTCTTCGTATACAGTACATAGGAGAAAATACCCAAAATGTAATAAACAGACCAAAAATTATATGTAAACTTGAATGATGAGCTGTATTTTGAGAATGTGTACTATTGTAATGTAAGATTAGGAAGAATAATTGAGACCTAAACAATTGTATACTGAGCTACCTTCTGATGTTCTGTCAGCCCAAAGAATGCCATGGCAGCGAGGTTTCTCTTCGCACTTGCCAACATGACACGATTCCTCTCAGCATGTGATGGCATATAAGATGTGTTGTAACAGCCCACTAAAGCTAGATCGGCCAACATACGTGTTTGTCTGTACAGGTTATATAAAAATACATGACAATCAGGCACTGAAAATACTTTTTTTTATAAGAGCATCATATTCTGTTACAGTTTTAAGACGAGTTATGCAACTTACAAAATACATTTTTTATACAATAGGATGATGATAATTACTTATACAGTAGCATAAAGAAGTTATTTCAACAATTATATTTTGCACAACCTCCTCTCATCCTCTGTGCTGTATAAAATTATACCTGCTTGGTTTCACATAAGTTGTGTTAACTAAGACAGTGAGGTAAGTTGACTAAGGACTGGATAGTGGGAGTTCATTTCCTGGCAGAGGTCTATTTTAATTTATTTACTAGCATAGTGTTATAAAATTTAAAATGTTTATTTTGTAGTCTTACAATTATTTAAACAGAGACAGGAGAGAAACATTGTACATAAACAATTAAGTAACTAGCGAGTGCTGTTTCACTTTGTCATTAAATGTTCTGAGAGGTTCAGGTGTGAAAAATTATTACAACACATTCAGTGAGGCATATTAATAAAACATTTCAGTTGGTGTTGTTTTAATAGTCTCACTGCTTATTAAAGTTGGCCTGTCTTTCAAATAAACTTACATATTTATATATAATTTCAATGAACAGCATATAGGAAAGCTTTTTAAAAATAACATCTTTCATAATATCCATTTTACTGTTTTACAGCACAAGTAGCACGTAACCAACTCCATAATGTCGCAACTTTCTTGAAAAGTTTATACTTCCTCATCTGGTCATGAAATATTGCACTCTTTATGGACCTTGACAGTTCATGAATGTGTTCACAAGAGCCCACAATTGTACCCTAGACATAGTCGAATCCAGTCCACACACTCCATTTCTACAAAATGAATTTTAATACTACCCTCTGATCCTTTCCTTGGTCTCACAAGTGATCTCTTCAGGTTTTCTGACTTTGTATGCATTTTTCATCTTCCCTGTATATGCTACATGTCCTATTCATCCTAACTGATTCCATAACTCTAATAATATTTAACGAAAGTACAAATTATAAGGCTTTTTCATTACAATTTGTAATATTTTCCATCTGTTCTTACCTTTCTCACAGATTCAAATAATCTCTTTACCACTTTGTTCTCAAAGACCCTCAATCTGTACTACTTTCTTAAGGTAAGACAAAACAAGTAGCAAAAATGGGCAATGCCATATATTAGTCCATTCAAATCACATAAAAAATAAATTGTGATATACCTGTTTGCTGCAAGATTATGAGGACAAGCTGCAAATTCATCAACAGTAACACCCTCCCAGGATGCTCCTTTATAGCAATGAGGTAGTTCCTGAGGTGTAGCAGCATGACCACCACACCAATGTCGAGAATTTCGCCAAGTTGCACCTCGCTGAACATGACGAAATTCTGACAGGTAGCGACTGATGGGTTCTCGTAACAGTGTTATATAAAAATATCTGGTAACAAATAATACTTATATTAATACTTGCATTACTAGTTTCTTGTTCTATCATTACTAATTTAAGATTGTATAAAATGATCATTGTATATTTTATTCTTCCACCTGTATAAGTAACATGTTACAAAATTTGTGCACAGCATTAATAACAATTGTAGCAAGTTTGATAGAATTTGATTTTTGGAAATGGCACCAGTGGTGTCTGACCTATCTGGGGTCAATGACATTTGCATGAGCTGAGTGCCTGGACGTTTTAGTACAAGTCCCTGATATAAAAATAATTGAAAATGTGTGCAGACATTCTGGAGTTTTATGCATATAGACATGGCAAAGCTAACAGGCACATTCTTGCAACTTTTTGTTGTGACTAAAATGGAAGAAAACCATGTAAGTACCTACTGACAGTGCATATAATTTCATGAACATTAAATAGGAAGTGGTTATGTCTTGGCCCATTTGAAGTTAGTATTACAGCTACCATAATAACCACATATTTTGGCTCCTTACCATACACCCACATGAACTCATCTGCTACCAATGTTTTGTTTAATTCATGCCTAATTTACACTAGACCCAACATAAATATGTCATGTAACTGAAACAAAACTATTGTAACCTTTTCTTGAAAGATTTCATGGAGAAACGCTGAAATTTGTCTGAATATGAGCAATACATGCAGCAAAAATTTAAATGAGTATGGCACTGGCTCTTTTCCACTTTCCCTTCCCAACTCTGATGTGGTTGAAACAGGAAGTGAGGGAGCAAGCTGATGACCAAACAGGTGGTCAAGATATGTTACAGAGCAATTATGTGCTGAATGATGTATCTGGAACTGCACTTGTTCATCAAGAGCTTCCAAATGGTGAGATTGAAACCTATCACAGTCAAACACTGGACTACTTGTTTAGTTAAAAACATTTATCACACAACTTCTAAATGTATACTGAACCTCTGGTATAATTAAGAAGGGTCAAATACTTGGATTATTACCTGCGTTTGACACTGTCTCCTTCATTTTTGTCAAGTTCAGAATCAACACAGCTAGTCAGCTCTGTCCAGTCAGCATGAAGTCCACATTTCCAGCCTGTTGAGTAACGACTGAACAACCAAATTTCATTACGATTTGGTCTGAAACAATAGCAACGTTTTCTCTTTCTTTGACAAGTGCATGGTCTCTGCAAGTCCAAATCACGGACCAGATGTCTACCGAAGGAAGTTCCACCAGTTTTTTGAATGTGTAGAAAAACCATTACATCGTGGGCATTCATGTCAAACTGAAAGTTATCATTTAAAACGTCGTCATAGCTTAGACCTGAGTTTGAAATTTTTGAGGTGAAGGGACTGGAATAAAGAGGTGAAGGTTTTCCCAAATTATCTTGAACTGGAAATCGAAACGTCCAGTCCGACCAACTTGTGTCTCGAGAAGTAAGTGCACAAACTTGTTCGGGGCAGAAATACCCAAAGTAAACAATCCCACTCACAGCTAACAAAATACACATCAAAACAACCCCTCGCAACCTACTCCTCGAACGAGATTCCATTTTAATCTCATATGTAACAGATTCACGAAGGTAAACTGCAAAATCACTATCAAAAACTTGCACTTCAACACTTTTCTTTGCCATTTCTTATCCAAGTAGTCCAATCCTAGCCATCGTCGTGGAGGTAGTGAACGTTTTCAAAACAATTTGACTAGTCTGCAACAAATACCATACAGACAATACTTGGTATATTAAAGCAAGTAAACGTATCCAGGCTATAGAAGCAAGTCGGAGATTCCCTAAAATCCGAAGAAAATAAAAGCATGGTTATGTTTCACGTCGATATTCTTGATCTAGCGGTGAATATATTCCGCGACATATATTCACTTTGCTTAAACCTTTCTACTCATAACATACAACCTTACGGCCCTTTATGCAACAACGCCATCTGATCGATAGAAATATGAAAAAAATAACAGATGCCGATCATATTGTAAATAGCGACACAAAAAAATATGAACCGTGGACTTTGTTGATAATTAAATTGTATCCTAAATAAATTCAAGGATCTACTGCTATCGTATTAGAAGCGTAGTCTATGGTTTGTATTTATAATGCTTCGTTGTTTAATAAATAAGCATATCTGCATGGGAGTAATTTGATTTTAACACAATTCGGCTGCTTTTGAGTCATTTCCAATGCTGCCACTAGCTACGCTGTAAGTTTTTAACCAAAGATGACAAATCAGAATTGTACACTACCTCTGATTGCTTTTGTGGCTTATAATAGACGTACAGCATGCTCGTTTGTGGTGTAACGGTTTTTGCTAATTTGTGGAAGCGTGTGGACTACGTATAGACAAATTTCTTTGGTGTCTAGTAATGTGCATTTAATTTTGTCAAAAAAGCACTGTGATTAAATATGTTTCGCACTAAAAAGGATGTGGATCGCCATGTCCAAGACGTATTGCGAAAGCTGAAAAATGAGAATGAGGTGAGTTCCGCCATTCCAAAATTACTTTTAAAATTGTAATCTCATACTGTTATTTTTGCAAGTGCTTTAATTTAACAAATGTTATAAGCAGTATTTTTTGTGCCTGAAGTGTAATCAATGCCAAGTATTTGTAATTCATAATAATAAACTAGGCATATACGTTCTCTGTATGACGCCGGTATCCGTATATCGCAAAAAAAAAATTGTATCTTGTATGTGGATTCACGAATGATGCTTGTTTATTGCTCTAGTTGCCACAAATCTGTGGTGTTAATAGAATTTTCCATTCTGCAGGGGACTTCATTGAAATAATTGCCATGAAATGTGAAATACTTATGTCTACCTACTTGGTTGAGAAATGTTTTATATCTACAGCCCCTCCCCCCACACACAAATAAATAAATAAGTCATGATGTCAAATTATGGTTTTCCAAAACTTGTGTGTGTTTCTGTGGGTCATTGTTACATATTTGCATGCTTGTGTTCAAGTCGGTGTATGTAAGTGTTTGTCTTATTTATTTTATTTCAGAGAAGCTTGCGTTGCTACAATATTGCCAAGTTGTATTTTATGGTAGGAGAGTATGAAATGACTAGGCGATATGTGTCTAATTATCTGACAGTTCGTGAGGATTCAGCCAGTGCGCATAAACTCCTTGGTCAAGCATTAGAGAACCTTGGGCAGAAAGAAAAGGCCTTGGCTCAGTACAAATGTTCTCTTGAATTGGAGAGTAAGCAGCAAGATTTGGTATTGAAAGGTAAGGATATTGGACAATATTTTAAAATGAATGGAAAATATAATTTGAATCACCTTCAGCCATTCACAGTTTAGGCCTTGTAGCCTGTAGTGGTCTAATGCCTGTGTTTGTGGAATTTCCCCAAAGATCCTTTGTCCATTTTGTTTTTGGAACAGAATTTGGAAGTGGATTTTTGAGCTGAAGAATGCAGTTTTTATAATTTGGTAATTTTCTATGAATTTCTTGATTGTTTATGTATTTCATTCCTTTTTATGTCATTCCCATTTATAATCTGAACATATATAGCCACAGGATTTGAGGTTTTCACGGTGACTGAATGCAGTGGAGTCTTCTCTGATGATATTTACCAATTTCCATTTCACTCCATGTTGACCCTGGAATCCAACTACCAGTGGACTTTAACAAACGTATGTCAGTGTCCATGAGAAGAATAGTTTATGGTTGTCTAACATCCCACATTTTTTGAGCTTAAATTACGTTGACTGTGGCCCTTGAGACAAGTGTGCATAGATACAAAGTTTTTCAGGTGACTGCATAGGCAGGGTCTTTCCACTACATTGGTTTGCACCGCTCATACTGTTGTCAGCTGCAAAAGTGATTGAAGTATTTTGTGATCAATTGACAACAATGATTAAAGATTAAATAGTTAGATCTTAGTGTTTTGCAAGGTTGTCTTTGTGTAAGTCTTGGATAAGTTTACACTACAGCTTGGCATGTTCTTTTATGAATCATGTGCGAAGTATTTCTGTGCTAGGAAGAATCAGAGTAGTCAGAAGAATTTTTTCCAGCATTTGATTGATTTATTTATTTGTATTTTATTTAACAGTGCTCAGTCTATGCAGTTGTTCATTTCTTATTGATAAGATTTGAAATAGTTCTGTGGGATTTCAATTACTGTGGAAGTGCTGTTCAAAATGTTGTTAGTAAAGTACAGATGACTTGCAGATGAATGGATTGGAAACCTTGAAGAGGGAAAGCTTTAAGTGTTGAGAGATTTGCTTCTTCAATTTATGTTGGTGTTGTCAGAGAAATTATTTAGGTTGCTGATATGTGCTCCCTTATGTCTGTTTTTGGTTGCTTATAGACAATTATAGTTCATTTTAAATAAGACATTGTGTGATTGTGGTTTTAGTGGTTACGTATCTCTGGCTTCTGACACTCTTCAGTGGGACAAGGCTCTTGATAGTCTGAAACCATCATTGGTGTTTGAGAGTGCAATTTCAGAAACTTACAAAGCTAGTGTAGTACTTACCTTAGTGTTAATGTCTGTTTTCATATGTTAATAGTATATCATTGCCTGAATAATGTTGAATAAATGTGGTATTGAGGCTTTTACTGAAATTTATTAATGGAATACAATTCTTTCCATTTATTCTTTAGTTTACATGATATGTTGTATATGAATAAATTTCCTTGCTCTTATATGAAACCCACCAATCTGTCCATTCAGAATCAGTGCTCTTAATATTTGTAAAGAAACCCTCAGCTTTTGTAGGTTTTCTTGGAGTTTGACTTACGCGTTTTCAGTATGTGGGCTGCTAGTAGATAGTGAAGCTCCATTGGATGTTGGAAGAGCTCGATATTGGTGTGAAAGAGCTGAGCAGTTGTTTCCACATCATCCAACAGTGTTCAGACTGAAGGAGCATCTTTTGACTGCAGATGGAGAGGAGGATGCTGCAGAATTAGAGGCCCTCATTGCTGGTAGGAAGGAATAATGGATTTTAGCTATTGTGTATATGGATAATATGTAAACAACTTCTGTATGTGTGATACTGAGACTTTAAAGTTGCTAATCACTTTGAAAAAATATGTTTATGAACTTCACAAGTGGCAGATTTAAAGTAATTGTTTGTGAGTTAATGTCTGCTGGGACAGTGGTGTCACAGTTTAAATGTCTAGTTGGGCATTGTGCCCCACCAATTTTTCGTTGTTTCCAGCAGCGATACAGCTACATAATTCTAGATGCCAGCTTCTCATTTTGTTCAGGACATAAAAATTGCATGATCATTGTAAGAGATTGATTTCTCAAAATCAGACTTGGAGGAGTTAGAATTTTAACCTCATAATTTGAATGCTAAATTTAAGAAATAATATCCCCTACAGGTGAATCCTTATATAGTTGCGTGATACATATTCCTTCCCTGTTGACCAGTAGACAGAACTCCTTGATGTGTATTTCCTTGTAGTGGCTGGTGCACCATTTTATTCATAGTGGTTATAGCTCAATAGTGCAATGGTAGGCTGTGGTTACAGTTAAATTATCTGATGGGAAACTGTTGAATAATGATTGTTTTCAAAATATGGACATTCATTTGTGCCCAATCTGTTATGCATTATGCATATGGTTATGATCTGTTAGTAGCAGGGGTTTCACTGTTGTGAATGGAAGATCATAATATTTTTGAAGCATAAAGAATGGATGGTTTTAGGATCAAAACTCTTCTTCTGTATGCTACTAAAAACTGACAACTTTGCTCTCTGTTTTAATTTTCTTTAAGTGTGGAAGAATAATGAACATTAAACTTGAAACACAAAAAGTACTATGTCTTCTTTTCTCAGATTTCACAAAATAATTCCTTGTGAACATTCAAGGTACAGTTATAACCTTAAGGTGCCAAACACTAATCTCAGTAAATACCAAGAAAGGAGTTTACTATACTGAAATTAGCCTATTCAGTAATCCCCCTCCATCCACTATAAAAAGGATGAATTATGATATAGAGAAGTTAAAGCCAGCACTAAAAGAATATATTCTCTTTCACTCTTTGTACTCCATAGAAGGATATACCAAATTAGCATATTTTATAATTATTTATTTTACATCATTTTAGGACTCCTCACAAGTTTGTGCATCTTCCATGTTGTAGTTATTATCAACTGTAGACAATAGAAGTGTGAGTTTGAGGTGGCATAATATCCATATCACATTTCATCAAAATCTGTTTAGCTGTTCTTGAGTTAAAAGATGGACAGACATGATAAGGCCTTCGTGAATTCATTTTAAGCATTAATGCAAAGAGTGCATAATAACAATACAGTAAGCTTAACTTGCATTTACATCTTTAAATGTTCTGTAAACTGCTCATTTATTTCTACTTGCACATTTAAATAATTTTTACTATCCTTCATCTACAGTTGATGTATGATGTATAGAAAGGTACTTTTCATTTATTAACACTGAGTTTTAAAAAATTAGGAAAATAGAATGTACACAAGCAATTATTATATCCTGCTTGCCATTGGTAAGTGGACAGTGGAAGTATTTTTTCAGTTATTACTTCTTTATTATTGTGTGAACTTTTAGCTGAACTGACAGCAAGGCCAACTGATGTTTCACTACGTGTACGCTTACTGAGATTGTACCTGGATACAGAAAGATTAACAGAAGCTTACAACCATGCTGTTGAATTGGAACTTCGTTCTATGCCAGGTTTTAGGGATCAGCTGCAGTGGTATGACTGCCTTATTGATGTTTTCGAGGTGAGTTTGTTTATAAATTTTACCCATCGGATACAGAAGGGTACGTTACTAATTTTAAGCATCACTGAATTTTAAATGTGGTTGTTACATGTTTGTAATATCTGTTATGAAGTAGTACTAGTAACACTGCTGTAATTAGTTAGGTATCTTTTGTATTATATTGTGTTCAGATGTATACCTTAAAATAAGTATGTATGCAGGCATGAGAAATCTATACTCTGATCATGCTTTTGTGATTTTCAATATCCCACAATGAAAATTGTTGACAAAATTAAATTTTGTCATTATTGGGCAGTTGTTACTTTACATTAGATTTCTAGTTTGAACTGACAAAGAAAGTTCATGCATTTCATACAGATTGTTATTAATTTATTATGTATAAAAGTACTATTGTGACTATAAATTTTGACCTCAGATGATAGTTGATCTGACTGTCCAATCAGAACTATTATTACTTTACTTGAAAAGTTGAATTAATTTTTAAAAATAAATATTTACTGGTCTTCCGAATTGTAAAACTTTGTGGACTTGTAGGTAGCTACCACCATTTCAGAGGAACATACTGTTTCTCCAACATTGAAGATTTTGGCACTATGTTCCTGCTAAGTATTGATACCTATCTACAAGTTCACACGTAAGAACAACATCAACATATTTACCACCATGAGTACCTAAAATCTCATATAAATCCACTAGATTAAAATATTTGAGGGAACATTGCTTTTTTCAGAATTCATGAATAGTTCAGGTTCCATGTTGTTGTTGTTTTATATATATAATCTCAAAGACCAATTACCCCTCGCAGAAGAAATTTGTAGAACATGTTAAAGGCATTTTTAAAATGTGATTGAGGTTTTAAGTTGATTTAGTTTATAGTACAGAGTGAGAGTACAATTTTGCAAAGTTTAATTAAAAATGTTGTTTTCTATGAAGAGACAGTGTTGATTAATCCTGCTTTATGCAATATGAATATGTTTCTACTTCCTCATGTATTAACATGTTTTCAGGTTTTTGTACATGAATCTACTGTGAAATTATTTTTGGTTTTTAGACTTATCAAGAAGAGAATCGTGAGAAGTGTGATTGGGAGTTCCATTTACATTATGTGGCTGTGTTGGAGAGGACTGTGTCTCTCAGCCTTCAAGAACATCAAGCAGGAGTTCGTCGTAGCATTTCCGATTGTGTACAGGCATTGTTCAGGTATAAATTGTTTATAATCTCATATAATGAAGATAAAGTGAAACAAAATAAAAGTAATGCATATTCTGGATCTTAATTGTATATTGTTCATTTTGTGCTCTTCAGCTTGGACAAAGCATTACACCAGGCATCCAGTCTAGCATCCCCTCCAAGTGAGCGAGAATTATACCAAGAATTCCTTAAACATGTTAGAGGTCAACTTTGCATCCATCTTGCAACATTGATACTGAAGAAAGCAAAGAAGGTGATTTTCTGGAATAGTATGCAAATATGAAGTAGCTACTTTGATTTTAATTTAGAACAAGGTTCGCTGTTTGGTTCAGAATTTTTCCTAATCATGCATGGTGAGGCAAACATGCAAATTGGGCTGTAAAAAAGTATGGAACATTTATTATAGTATGAGTCCAGATACAGTATTGATAGAAGATGGAATGTTTATCCATGTTAAACTCTCCAGTCTTATAAAGTACAGAGTCTGCTGAAATAGAAAGGTGAGTACCTGACAGACAGTTGTATTTGTTGATATTATTTTGGGTTCTGGCACCATGTGGGCTGGCCAGTAGATACCATCGTTTCATAGAAGTGTACTGTCTCCATCTTCAGGGATGAAGTTGTATTTGTAATTATTGAGTAGCTATTGTTTGTTTTACCAATACATGTTCTATGTCAAACTTTGGTTATAGGAGCACATCTTTGGTTTGATTTGTCTGGTTTGTAGTTTTAATGCACAGAATTATGAACTGTAATGTTCCCAGCAGTACCCTGGCATGTAGAAAGCCAGACATGTAATATATGCTAATTGATTATGAACTGTCTTTGTGGTGATATAACTGTAGTGGCATGAGCTGTGGTTCTCACGGCAGTGAAGATATCCATGGTGGCCTTCTGGGTTGTCACTGTGTGGACTTGGGGGAAGGGACCAGCATTTCAGAGGAACATGGCTGCCTGCGCCTTCAGTTCATGTAGTGTCACAACCCAGAGAACCATCAAGTACAGTTCTAGTGACAAAGAAATTCAAGTACTCAGTGCCACCCAACTAGGTAGAGAAACAAAGTGCATACTGCACAACTTTAAACTTTAAATATGTTCATGCACAGGTTGCGTAGTGCTCATGAAAACATGAACATGCTTTTGCAGTTGTATTCATCATACTTGAAGTTAGTACTGTGAAATGTAGTGGGATATTAGTGCTTGTGAAATTTATGAACTTTTTTTGTCATTTATAGCTTGATCTGCAGAAGATTTTGTCTTGTGATAATTAGATGTTAATCCTCTTATAATGCACTTTTCACTAAAATATATTAGATTTTAAGTTTAAACAAATTTACTTAGGAACGTGGAAACTGGCGTGAGGCATGCAGGGTCTCTTCTCCCCTACTTCTTCTTGCCTTGTCTTCACCAATAGATATGCAGTCAACTTGGCTGCTTCAGGCTACTGAGACTCGGAAGAAGAGTGTGGACCTTTGGGCTAAAGAAACTGCATACAGAAATAGCCAAGCAGGTAAGTAGTAATTATGTAACTTTAATTTATTACGTCCAGGAGAGCTGCACGTTTTTTATTTGCCAGTTGTGTAAGGATTGATTGTACCTGATGTTAGAATATTGATGCATATTGAGGAATTAAACTTCAGATTGCTGGTTGCAGTTCCTCTTCTGTTAGTGGTAGAAGGTGTATAAAGACCTGGTGAGAAACGCGGAATGTTGGCTACACAATAAAATTGTGCTTTACCTTACTAAAGGCAATTCAGTGATGTAGCACACTGCTTTAACTGATATGTATTGGACTGGCCAAACATCGTGTTACATTATTGTCATTTTTTTACTTCACCCACACCCTCATCGATCTTTCATATTGCTTCTAACAGTTGTTGAACCAATGAAAGTCACTGGTTTTCATATATGTGTATTATCAACTCTTAACATGAGTACACTTCTTTCAAAGGATTTGTTCAAGCAATTGCAAAGAACTTTTTTATACCTTGACCCAATAAATTGCCAAGGAATACTAGTCACATTTAGTGTTCTCTGGATGACTTTACAAACTAGGATTTTTTGGGCTGTGGAGATGGTATGTTAAGAACTCAGGCTTTTGAAGTACAAGGTGTTAAGATGGAAACGATGTGAATTGTTTGTGAGTGTTGTGGACAACCAAAATATTCTGTTATCAGTGAGACATGTGAAGAGAGTAAAAGAAGATTGAGTGTCAAATGTATGACATTTGAACATGTCAGAAGAAGTGGACAACATAAAAATGAAGATTGCAAAATTGTTTCCAGAAATGTAGGCTGATGAGTAATGATTGAAGCAGAAGGTTGTTCTGATTTTTATGACAAGTGTTCAAAGTAATGAAAATCTCATGAATTTTGTTTTTGCTGTTGATGAAGGAGAATATGGTATAGAATTTCCAAGTTGCTGACAAAGTTTGTGACAAATTCTTTGTTCAGAAAACTATACATACAAACAGGACTAAAGAAATACCCACAAAACAAAACAAAACAAATAGAAACAATTAAAATCTCTTACAGTGTAGCCAACATTGAGCCATAAATATTTTTCATGATTGCCCAATTGCTGGTGGTGTTAGTAGCTTCTACCAAAGAGTCCAATAATATTTGGGTCTCATCTGATAAACAAGCTTTAACTTCCTCATTAATGAAGCTCTGTGGGTCAACCAAATGTTGAACACATTTCATATGTTTAATTTTGTCTTTCTTTTCAGTAACATAATTTCAGGTATTGGCAACCAGTTTCTCAAACAGCTCTTGATAATGGATAAAAGATGGGTGTTATATTGTAAGTGCTGTTGCCATTTAGTTCTGTGAGCTTTATATGAACCACCCAATCTTTGCTGCATTAATTCTTAAATGAGATACATATTTTTAAAATGTAATTTTTGTTTGTAAAGTAGCAGGATGGATTGGTTGATCTGATATAGGGTTATTTTGTTCTTGTTTGGTAATAAATGAAACATAAAATTTGAGCATGCTATCTGAAGCAGTAATACATGTGCTGTGCATTGAATATAGCCTGTTTTAAAACATGATTTTCCTCAGTCCTTGGAATAGACATGACTAGCCCTTCTTGTGCATGATCGTCTCATCTCATTTAGGCTAAATAATATGTAGTTAACATGTATTGACCACGTATTATGTTACACTTCATTCTAGCTTGCCATGCATAGCATTAAACTAAAAAACATTAACCCCACAGTTAAAGTCTGCTCAGTAGAACAGGGGTTTAAATCTCCTGTTTCCATATGATAAAAAATGTATGTGGCTGCAAAACCTAAGACCAACCAAACATGAATGTTACCCATTTTTTTGTATGGAAATGACAGTAGTTTTGGAATTTGTTTATAGGTCATGTGTTACTTACCATGGTTCGTGAACGCAGAAGCCAGTTTCTGGATCGGGTGACTCAGTTCTGTTCTGGTAACTGGAGGGAACGTGTGTTTCAGGTTAGTTTTATGTGCTGAAATATTTAAAATTGAACATTCTTTGTTGTGAATTATAACTTATATAACACAGCCGAGGTGTGTGTAAACTATTCCTTTGTCTCTTTCTTCTGTCTTTTTTTCCTCTCCTGCCTTCTGTTTAGTAAATAGGCGTTATTATCTACACCCATCTTATTCTCTAAAGTTTGTTACAGTGGTTGATTCATTTACATCACAGTTATAATGGATATTGTGTGTGTATTTTAAGTATCTTCATTAGATAGCTGTGCTTCATTTTTATTTGACTTGTGGCATTACACTGTCCCGCACCATAGCCGCACGGTCTGAGGCATCATGCTTCGGACCAGCGATACGGAATGCGCACTGGTTCGAGTCTCGGGGGAGAAGAAAATTTCTCATGAGCTTTCGACCAGTGTATGGGACCGGTGCCAACCCAGCATTGTGAGGAAATTGGGGAGTAACATTGAGTAGTGTAATCCGGTCAGGAAAGCTAGCAACGGCTGGGGGTTCGTCGTGCTGACCACACGTCACCCTATATCTGGTTGGATGATCGTTCACCTCTGCTTAGGCATGTGAACGTGAGACCAGCAGTCAAGCTAGTTGGCTTTGGCTCTCTGGAGCTGTTACGCCACAGATTTAATTTTTAATTTAATTGTGGCATTACACTGATAGATATTTTGATTTTATTCATTTGTTATCAACCATTAAGCAGCTGGTATAAAGTCACCTGTTCATCTGAAAATGAAAGTAAAGCCAACTTTTGAAATATCCTTGTGTTAGCTAACACTTTCTGACTTCACATACCCAAGTGTACAAAAACTGCCATTTGAGATTTTGTTTGTTTTTAATTCTATTTGAATTGGATTTATTGAAACAATTGTTCAATATTGAAATGTTTGTATTTCCTAATGTTACTAGCCTATGTTATCATCATCTCTACAATTAGAGTTCTTTGTATGTAGCGTTATAAAATAATGGGCATATTAGGTATGGAGGATTGTTTTCACTCAATATTTTTTCTTAATTGACCTAATTGGTCTTGGAGTATTCTGGCTATCAACAGATCCCAGCATAATTGCAGTGTAGTAAAACCCATTTATGGGTTCCAGTCTCTTGCTTTATTTTAGTGCTGGTCTAACATATTAAAAGTTTGTTCTGTTTTATTGCAGAGAATCTTCACTACCCGTGATCACCAGCAAGGAATATCACATTCACATTTTGTTAATTTCCCAGGACTTTCTGACCCTCCATTGAGACTGCCAACACCAAGTGAATTATTACCTCATGATGAAAGTTAGTCATTAGCAAATATATTGATTCTTGATTAATTGACACCTTGAATAATTTCGTACCTGACCCCATTTGGTGCTGTGCAATATTTGTGAAATTTTTATGTACAGTAGGGCACCGCAGATGAAAAGCGGATCTTTGCCTTTTTTCACTTGCAAATGCATATCAAAGCCTAATAAGATGTTTACACTATCATATAGTAAGTGCACAATAGCGCTAGGCCTAAGAAACTTATATGAAAGTTAAATTAATATCAGTAGTACACACATTGTGGCTGGTTTGATCTTCAATCCACACAACTAAAAGTTTTTCCGTGTCGGCAATAAGGCTATCTCTCTTTCTTATGACTTTAGAGTTCATTGGTGTGGCACGTTTAATTTCATTTAACACTTTCTCCTTAGTGTTCACGATGACACTAACAGTTTGGCGAGCTAGGCGTAGCTTACGTCCTATCTCGGCCATAGACATACCTTGTTCACGAAGTTCAATCATATCTAACTTGGCATTTAAAGTAAGAGGCTTACGACTCCTCTTTTTATCGCTACTACCCTTAGACGCCATTGTAATTACACTGTAGTAACACAAAAATATTACATAAATATACAGTTTGTAATAACTTTGAAAAATTGCCAGAAATACAAAGAGACGCGGAGCGCACAAAAGCTGTAAACAGACTGAATCAGCAACAAGAAAATGGCGCCGGACGCACTTCTCTGTCTCAGCTGTTGAGCGCCGAAAAGCGGGGCCCTACTATATCAAAATCTGAGTGCAGTGGACTTTTGTGGATGAAAAGAAAAATTTATAACAGTGAAATTTTGTTACAGTGGAAGGCAGTAAAAAAATTAGTATTTTAAAATTAATTGTTTTCACAAAGATTAGTGCATTTTTGTCAAAATGAGTTGCTTGTTTGTGATGATACCCAAAAATCATAAATGATATATTGCAATAGAAAGAGAATGATTCATCTAACATTTACATTATTATATAAATTTTGCTTTATTGCCTGTGTGCCAAGGTTTATGCATAATCCAGCTGGCCATGCATCATAATAGCTTAGTGATAAGCTTTTTAACCCCTAACTTAAAATCTGGTTTTAGCCCTGTAATACTAGATTTCAAATCCCTGATTGTGCATTGTATCCACAAAACTTCACACCCAAGTATTTCAAATGATATTTGGTATGGACATCATGCCATTGTAGGATGCCCAGGGGCTAGATTTTGATTTGCCGTTCTGCGTAATGCCATTCACTGTCAGCTGGAGCTGCTTGCCTGTCATGTCAGTTTGGTTATTTAATAATCAAATATCATAACTCTTATACCAAATTCATAATACTCACATTTTTGGAGTTTATTTTGTGGGACTTGGAGTAATAGTATCTCCAATATTTTATCTTTTGTGTCAGATATTTTCTCTATGATTTAGAACTTTTTAATGGAGTTGTTTGTAATATGACACTTTGCTATATTTTTCCATTAATTTCTTTCATAGAAGCTGATGATGTTGAAGGCCCATCTTGTCAGTGAGTGATTTTTATGTGGGCAGACTTGTGCTACCATATGTTTTTGTAGGGTTCTCCCATTTCTTAGATTTACTTGCATGTTCACATAAAATTACCTGATATCTGTTTACTTTCTGTTACTTTTTAGAGTCGCAGAAACTATATCCAGGTTCTCTGCATCATCTGGTTTGGTTGGGACTTCAGGATATTTCAGGTAGTAACAGGAAGAGCAACTCTTTGAAACCAGGACCAGATTTTCATTGCCAGGTGTTTGAAGGCTTGCAGCTCACTTGCAACAATTTGAATTGTGCAGGCACTGAAACACTCAACAGGCTTGATATTGATGCTTTTCTGTATGCTGCAGGTAAAGTAGAGTTTATAGTTACCTTCTCTAATTGTTATACTAACAGATCATGTTAGATCTAATATGTTATTATAGTCAACATGAATCTGCAGTCTTTGAATCCTAGCATGTGAGCATAGGTGAGAGGAACAGTGTGTGATGTGGGAAAATAGCCCATTATAATAATAAGGCTTGCAGACACTAACTGTTGATGCCAGATGTGAATAAAAGTGTATCTGGCCTGATGTTTTGAGGTAAGGCGCTATTTACCATATCTGAAAGAGCATGTAATGAAGGACAATTCTGCATATTTGCGTTGACTTCTGTATGTCATGGATGTGTGCAACCACACTTTTACATGCATGCAATTGCAAATGCTGTGAATGATATGATTTTGTTTTCTTTTGATTCTCAGTGTTCTGTGCTAGTGCAGCTCTAGATGAGCAGCAAACTGCTGGATACTGGAGTTCTGATAGGCCTCTTACCTTACCAGCAAACATTACTGATCATCTGTGTACTGTCGATCAAGCCAAGTGGTAGGTTGATCCAATTGCTAAAGAAGTGTTTTCTAAGAACTAGTGTGTTGGGTTTATTGGATTTTGAATGCCTCAATTTATGTTGTAGGTGGACAGCAGCATATCGAGTTTACACAAACCAAGCTAAAGGGGATCTCGGGGAGCTTCGTCAGACGTTACAGAGAGGAATAGAAGTTGTTAGAGTACTTGGAAACCATGGATTGGATGTCAAACTCATTGTACATTTAGCACAGACCTTTGAACAGAGGGTAAGCACAGTGCTTTGTGCCTTAATAAATTATCCATGAGACATTTCATGGTCAGTTTTTGTGGTTCATATAATTAATGATGTACAAAAAGAAATATAAAACAGGTAAAAAAATAATGTATAATTAATTCTGTTGTACTATGAAAGCTGGCATTTTGTGAACTTCTTTATTTAGTTATTATATTATCTAAAGATAATATTTTCTGTCAGTGATGTATTTCGTTTCTCTATTTATTATGATATTTTTTTTGTCTTGTTTTTGAAGAAACTTGAGAATTTCACTGTTATTTTAAAGGCATCAGCAATGGCTGCTCGTACTGAGGGTTCTGGTGATATACCAGCAATAGAAGCCAGAGCATCTTTGTATTGGACAGCTGCATTGCCATTATTGGAACGACTTCAGCGCAACCAAACAATACGTGCTCCTCATTCAAGGCTGTTTGAATACCAGGGGTATGTTTTGCTGCTATCTTCTCCAGTTGATTAAACAATTTTTTTATTACAGTACATTCTCACTTCTGATATTTTTCTTTTTCCCCCCCGAAGATTTCCAAACTTATATATGTGGTATTATTTCATGAAAATTATGGGATTGAGATGTACGCTATATTACCACACATGTAACAATTTAAGAATTCTAAGTGGTGTAACTTGCACCTCATTTGATCACAGCAAAGTGTATTAGTGTGTACTTGAGAAAGTCTTAGTAACTTACCACTGCCTTACATTTCATTATGAATATTACACCTTACGAATAAAGTTTCACATTCCTATGCAGAAGATTTTACCTCTAAATCTCATTTATAATTTCAACATATTATCAGTACTGCTTAATTGAAGTTTCATTGTCATGGAATTTTGTCATCTTTTCTACTCTGCAGTCTTCATGTGGCATGTAATCATCATTGCGTATTTATTAATCAAATAATGTCTTCAATTCAAATAATATTTCTTTGTTTAATAGGAAAGAATTGCCTAGTGCAGAAGTGAATGCCCTAATAGAAGAAGGTCATTTCTTTCGGGCTTGCCAATTAATGAAGGAAGATAAACATGAAAAAGCAATTGAAGCATTCCAGCAATTGAAGTCACCATATGCTTCCTTTTATCAGGTAAATAAGTGCAGCATTAGTGTAAAATAGTAGAGTTCACCAAAAAAATGTGAAATGGGCACTGAATACAGCAGGATCCCCATTTAACCCTTTGCAGTTTAACTTTTTACAATTACAGAGATCAGCTGGTTAATGCTGTTTAAGGAAATAACCAGAGTTTATACTTATAATCACATGAAACCCATAAATACAAAATGAGGAGTTACTGATTGTTGAAGAAGATGGAACATTTAGTTACCATGGAACTTTAAAGGGTTAAAGTTTTTATGGGGAGCAGTGTATTTGAACACCATAGTGAGGAAAGTCTTAAATGGAGGGAGTTTAGCATTCTGATAATGGACTTGGGATCTTTGAATTTGAATTTTAAATCAGAGAAACCTTAAGTTGGAGATATTAGGATACCACTGTACTTCAGTAACCTCCTCACTGTTGGTCAGAATATTTGCTCTGTTATGAATGTTTAGATTCCCATTCAGTATTTCTAAACTCCACATATTTCAATACAATGTGCTTACATTTAAAATAAAGTACAGTGAAACCTCGATGCATCGTTTTCGGCGGGGGTGGGAAATAAAAACGATGAATGCGGGAAAACGATAGATGCGGGAAAGCATTAAAAATTTAAAAAAAACAATGTTTCTCTTTCAAAGTTACTTCTTTTTACCAAAAAAGTCTTTAATGGACAACTGGTTTGTCGAAACTTTACGTTTTAGACCAAACAGAGCACTTTCCACGTTCAAAATGTTTTCCTCGTCACGTTCACTAATATTAAGCGCATAAAAGAACAACTTCACTTTCGCCAATGCAGCGTGCGCTTCGGCAAAACTCGGCAAAGCTTCGGGCTCGCATTCGTCGTCTCCCTCTTCCTCACCACTCCAACCCCCTTTGCGGACAATAACAGGAAGAATGGAAATACTATTACTGCCGAACTCAACGAAACGTAGCTGTAGAAGACCC